AAATGGAGAAGCTCCTCCAAGCAATTCTTTTCTTGCCCCTCCTGCAGGAAAAGTAAAAGTGGAACAAGGAGGAGAGTTGAGCTTAGGCCTGTTGGAGGGCAGAGAAGCTCAGGAATGTAATGTTCCTGGAGAGGGGAATGAGAAGGAGGAGGCCCACCAAGCAATAGAGGAAATGGAGACAATAAAGAAACAGGGGGAAGGAGCAGGAGAGGAGAAGGTCTCTCAGGCAGAAGAGGAAGACTCTCTCTCAGAACGCCCCTTCCAGTGTGGTGTTTGTGGACGCAGCTACAAGCATGCTGGCAGCCTGATCAACCACAGACAGAGCCATAAGACAGGCCTCTTTCACTGCAGCATTTGCCAGAAGCAGTTCTACAACCTCATGGCCCTCAAAAACCACAACCGCACCCACTTTGAAACCAAACGCTACCGATGTACCGAGTGCCCCAAGGCATTCCGGCTCCAGAAGCAACTGGCCAGCCACCAGCACATGCATTGGGACAGGAGGCCGGAGCCTGCTTTCCCCTCGGTCCAACGGCCCCTTCGGGCCAAGCGGGCTGGCAAGGCAGAGACCTTCCCGCTCCTTCGGGCCCCCGCTAAGCAGCTTCCAAACCCCGAAGAGCGTCCATATAGATGCGGGCAATGTGGGCGCTCGTACCGCCACGCAGGCAGTTTGCTCAACCACCAGAAGAGCCACAAGGTCGGGCACTTCACCTGTGCCTTGTGCAGCAAGGCTTACCCTAACCTCATGTCCCTGAAGAACCACCAACGCATCCACTACGAGGTGAAACGTCACCAGTGTCCCGACTGCGGCAAAGCCTTCAAGTGGCAACGGCAGCTGCAGAGGCACCAGCGCCGGCCCCATCCTTGCAACAAGGTCATGCCAGGGCAAGAGCCCGAAAGAACTAAAGCGGATTGTGAAAAGGACCAGGGGAACAACCCCGGAGAGGCCCCCGCCGGGACTCTGCAGAGCCAGCCGCGGCCCAAACGCTTTCGCAACCACGCCTCCCAAAAGAACCCCAGTCGCGTGCGTGGAAAGAAACGTTTGGAGTGCTCGGATTGCGGCAAAGCTTACCGGGCCTCCAGGGATCTGATGCAGCACCTAAGAAGGCATCAAGCTGAGGAAAGAGGGGACAGTCCAAAAGGCAAGCTGCTGGAGGACCAGCCTTACAAGTGTCATAGCTGTGAGCGGACATACCGCCATCCTGGTAGTCTACTAAATCACAAGAAGGCCCACGCGACCGGACTCTACCACTGCCCCACTTGCCAGAGGGACTTCTACAACCTTCTGGCTCTCAAGAACCACCTTCACATCCACACGGACAAGAGACGCCACAGATGCCCCCATTGTGGCAAGGCCTTCCGGACAGCCAAGCAGTTGACCGCCCACACAAAGGTCCACGGCAGGTCTAAGGAAGAAAAGACCTTCTCTTGCCCTGTCTGCTCGAAGAGGTTCTTCCACCACCTTACCTTCCAGCAGCACCAGTTGTTGCACACCAAGGTTGATGGGCACCATGCCCTTGAGGGCAGTATCACAGGGGAAGGGAACTGAGGGCTGTTAGCACACGTGGGGAGGTGCACCCAGGATTGTATGGCAGGGAGATCAAATTACAGGGAAACATTTGAGGTTTGGGTGGGAAGCTGGCTTCATGGGAACAATGGTCCACGCAACCAAAAAAAAAGGGAAAGGTTAAATTTGGTGGTTGATGGGAGATAGGACGAAGAAAATTGGGTCCATGATTCCCCAGCTTTTCTTTTTTTAGAACATAGATCAGAAAAATTGAGCTGGGATAGCAGGGAAGAGAGCAGGTGAGGTGGGACAGTGGTGGATTTTCTCTTAACGGAACGTTACGTTGAGCACATAACAACACATCTCTGT